AGGCTGTTATAACCGCCGAGCGTCTGTTTAGGGCGCCATGGGTATTTTATTCCAATCAGTGTAGTTGCCTGGGCTTGGGAGTAAGCAGACTTAGAAAACCTGACAATTAAGTTTACTTGAAAATGGGTTGAGATATGTTAACCACGCACAACTTCTCCCCCCTAGCAAATACAATCCCAAAATGATCCATCTCCGTTTGTTATCCAATCAAGGCGTACGAACAGCCATCATATTTGAGGCCCGTGCGGTTCTCCTTTCCCAAAGTCCCTCTACAGCTCGTATAGCTAGATCAGACAAACCAGAATTGGAAATGATAGTCAAGGCAGCCCAGATGGACGCGAAAGTGATTTCGTAGCACTGTCATAAAGTTGAACTGAATATCGCTCAACATTCAGATTTATTGTGAGCAATAAAAGCTATACAAAAACTTCCTTCTTAATATCTGATTACGTAGCATGTAGACTTATTCTGATATCTATAATCACACATTCAATATGAGTCTCCCAGAGACGTGAAAGTATTGTAACCTGGCCAATTTATCGCTTCGTGAGTCGGCCTTTCAGAAACTTGACCCTCGTGAAAGCTTGCGCTTGACCACTGTGTACAAGAAGCCTCAGTACACAAACGAGTGGCCAGATGTCTTACCCGGAGACTATTGGCGCATGCCTAGTAGGTGTAGCACAAGGGACCCTTAGTGGTATCCATGACATCTCCAACAGTAAGGTCCTCGTCAATACCGCCCATCACTAAGATATCTTTCAGGCTGACTTCGTGCTGCTCAGTCTGGTTGATGTTCTTGTAAAGTCCATTATACTCGGTGAGTCTGGTGGAGTTCTCCTTCTGCCACAACCACCAGAGACGATCGATCTGCGCGTGGTGCATGAAGAAAAGAGGTTCTGCTATATGTCAGTTGCCGAAAAAAGAGCATACGAGGGTCACGAACCATTGGGAGAAGTGGTGGGGTTCATCTCTCCGCCGAGACAAGCATGAATACTACCATGAGGTCCTCCCTCAAGAGTCCGGGCGTAGTGACTCCAGTTGCCGGAGGCTTGAACTTCTTCAACTCCTTCAGGTCCAAAGACCTTGGCCATGGTTGCGAAAGCATCAGGCTCGTCAACTTCAGGCAAGTTACGATGTAAACAATGGCCACCGTCGGTAAGTTTCCTGGGCTCAGTCTCGAGGTATTCTGGGCGTAGCTTTGCAAACGGACCGTCGCTTACACACTTTAGAGTACTTCCTGAGGCACTGATTTCGGTGTTTTCAGCGTCTCCGTTGCCGCCGAAGCCGTTCTTTGATGCCATGACTGGGGAGAGACGGAGTCCCTCTGTGTCTTTGGTCCAGTCCCAGTAGCTAAATTTCATGGTCAGAGGTGGCTTGGCGATGGGCTTGAATAGTACTCACGTGTATGGGCCTTCATAACCGCAGTCGCGAAGAGCTCGCTCGTAGACTACAACAAAATATCGGTGCCAAGGGAGGAAAGGAGAGCCACCATGGACTGCATTTTATCAGTAACAGCTTAGGCTTCATACCGCAGATAACACTTACTCCATGAGTTGAGCTGGAAATGAAGGTGAGGGAAGTCATCGTACAAGCTGGAATTGAGACCCATGCGAGAGGGCTTAGTCTTGAGGCACAGAACAGCGTCGATATAGCCCTGCTGATCAGCGGCATTCAATTCTCGCCACTCAATTCTCTTTGCAGGATTCGAGCAAGACTTGTCAGACTTGGCGGGTGCGGCCATAGCCGGGGTAATTGCGCCGGCGAGGGCGAGAATGGACGTGAACTTCATTCTTGACCGGCGTGAAAGCGACTGCAAAGTTTTAGTGTCTAACGAGAGAATACCAAGGAGGAAAGATACTATTCTCTCTGGCGTCAAGACTTAGGAGAAGCTCCCTTTTATCTTTTCTTTAGCTCATCTCTTGTCTTTATTCTTTACGAGATTCAGGCTCATTGGGCCCATAGTGAAGTCTCGGCAAGGCGCTCACGGACCCCAGGGGTATGCTTGGCACGAAAGCCATACTAGATGATCTTCATGCTAAGTCACCGCTAAAGCTAATTCCACCACTCACGAGGGGTATACTACGAGTCTGAATCTAATTCTGGTCATGTTTCTTGGAATTAAAGGAAATCCCGATTTGGCACCTAAGGTTAAAAGCGCAAAGGCCAATCGTATAATAGCTTGAACAAATTTTAAATTCTAAGTTTATACCATGAGCTTCTATTGACCAGCAATAACTCAGGTATAGATAATGGATGGTTGAAATTTGTATTTCTAAGAACAATCTGTAAGATAAAAGTGTATAAAGAAAGGAGCCCTTTCTCAGAGAAGTTGAATACTACTATGACCATACAAAACAGATCTCACTATCGACGATACTAGAAACATAGACGTTTCATCAAGAGTTCTACTTTCGAGCACCCTTGATACCAGCTAGACGACGCTCAGTATTCTTCCGGGAGTTGACAAAATCAGGGTTCGAAAGCGTCAGTTCCAGGCCCCCAGAGATAATATTGTCAACTGCTTCGACACCTTGCATGAAACTGTGACAAGTTATTAGCTCCTTGATTTTGTAATACTGGGATAATGAGTTGCTCACCTATGGTCCTGATTGCCAACCTCATACTTCCAGGCTCCAAAGCGACCACGAGACAGAATGTCCTTATCATACAAATAAGGCAAGGCCTCGGACAGAGCAGCGTCGCGTTCAAGAGTGGGGGTTGGATACCCGTGATCAAAGCGGCGAACATACGTGCTGACAATTTCATCCTCGGGTCTGAGTAGATCGGTATTGATCAGACCCTGAATGCTCTCCTCAAGCAAAGTGGCCTGGTTAACGGGCTTGTAGGAGGACTCGGAGACTTCAAGCATGATTGACCAGTATGGACCAGAAGCAGGTTCTGGAGAAGCAGGCTTGTCACCGTTGGCGAGCTGTTTGGTGGCAAGCTTGACATCTTCGCTGGGTTGGTTGTAGAGCGAGTAGTTTGAGAATATGGTAGCTCGGTAGAACGGGGCATTGTCTTCCGGGAAATAGAGCTATCACTTAATAAGCATCAAAATATCGAGGGTCTTTGTGATCACCTACCCAGCATTTATCACCGATACGTTCGGGCCGCTTTCCACGAATTCCAACGCCAATCACGTTAGTGGAGGAGTAGTAAAGTGGCTTCAGTGACTTTTGAAGTTTGACATCACCAATACTCTCTGCGAGCTGATCGACAGCCATGGTAGAGATGAGCGCCCCGTATCTGACTGTGGTTCCTGTCATCTTGTCAGCAGAAATAGTACCAGGAGACAAGCTGCTTACCATCTTTCAGAAAGACCGTCTTAGCATCAGCGTCAATCTTGGTAACTGCGCCATGATCTCCAAAGCGAGTTTTGCTTTGATCAAGAGTATCAGCCACAGCAGTCCAGATCCCTCCCGTTCCTCCACGAGCAGGGAAGCGGAACGTAGCATTGGGCCCCCAACCGCCAGCTGCCTTACCAAGAATAGCGTTGGTAGTTACAAGCTTAACGTTAGGAGCGGCGACACGTTCTCCAACCCAAGTAGAGTTCATCTATGCGGGTTAACCAAGACGTGACACGAGCTATGGAAAAGGCGTACCTTGGTTGTAGGAATAGCCCAGACTTTGAAGTTGTAAGGACGCATGAAAATCTCATTGAGCCTCTCGCCAACGTTGCGAATATTCCACTCGTCAAAATTGGCGGGCTTATCAGATGGTGAACGCGCGCGGGCTTGTATGGCTGCTTCAATGAGGTCAGCCAGACAGCGAGCCTGTTCCTCTTTTGGTAGAACTGCGATGTTGTTTTGGAAAGGGTATGGGACCCAAAGACCCTGGTAGCGGACATACGAGATGCGTTGATGCTCGTACCAATCATCTGGCTTGGGAAGAGCCTCATTGATGACATCGTCGAAGTACTTGTAGTGGGAGAAGATTACATGTCCTCCAACATCGAAGAGCTAGATGAGTAAGTCATGAGGACACGGGAACGGACTGAGGCATACATACGAAACCCTCCGGGGTCGTGTCGGTAGATGCAAGACCACCAGGTGTTTCATTCGAGTCAACAATTAGCCATTCGACGCTGTTCTGCAAGCACGATCAGCACAAAGTGTCACTTGGTATAAATGAAGTTTCTACCAGGTGCTGAAGACGCTTGGCTGCTCCAAGACCAGTTGGGCCGGCCCCGATGACGAGCACGTCGACGTTGCTACAAACATGCCGTATTAGATGGAAGATCTCCTTATCTCTGGATCAGAGGCTTGCCTACATTTCTTTGGTTGCCATTGTAATTCGCTGCACGGAGGGAATTTTTCAAAAAGAAATTTATGTTTCCATTTGTTGAGGGATTGGTTGTTTTATATCCCGAGACGGGCCAAACCAGCCTTGAAGGAAGAAGACGGGCTATCATATTCCATGTCTCATATTGTGCCCGGTCTGTTGACGTCTTACATCACCTCAAGATGAGAACAAATTGCGACATGAGACACCATTGGTTTATCGGTTATGCGAATCGGGTAGATCTGCTCCTAATTTTAGCTTTGTTGTCTTAGTAAACATGAATCCTTTAATTTACTAGAGTGGCTGAGCCCATGCCCTCATTTAACATCCCCTGTTTGAAACAGAAACGCGTAAGTCAGCTACCCGATAGGAGAAAAAAGGACAGGACTGACCTGAGTTTAATCTCAATGCCGTCGTACTCTTTCTACTTGAGCTTCCTAATGCAATTGATAATTCCTCTCATGGGTGCATAAATGGTGGAAAATAGGTGCCTGAACTGAAGATCCTTCGCGGCGGGGACGGTGGGATAAAGACTTGACTTGGAAATTACAGACTCATATTAACGACGCATCCTGCCCTTACAACTTGGCATAGTACTATCGATTATGGGCATGGTTATCTACGACTTATGTAAAATAGGATCGGAGCGAGAGGCACATGACAAACTCTTGATCTTGACTTAGAAAAACCCAGAACGAACTGCATTTAGATTAATGTCTTTAAGAACTGTATCTGAAACTGACTTTTGCTTCACCTTGAAGCTCTGCTCTGTTTGAACCATAGTCAGGCATCTCCGCGGGTACTGCAAAGATTACAATATCGTGTAAAGCCGTACTTTTGTTCGTTATTGTCTCTTCTTTGCTTCTTTGTCGCGGAATACCCTGTGAGTCAAGCTCCGGCTTACCAAAACCTGCTGTCCCCGCCTCATCTTCTAAGTGAGGACTTTTGGGAGTCTTTGGTGTTCTGCTTCGCCGCTTCCGCCACCAGATCGCAAACGCAACAGGTAGGGCTGCGAAAAGAACGGAGGGGACAACAGCTCCAGCGATCCATGCAGTACCTGAACCTGAGCCCTGCTGAATATCAGTACGACTTGAGAAACATACGGATATTTGTTATTCCTATCCTTCGTAGAAATATTTGATAACGTAGCTGAATTTCCAGATTGCGTGGTTCCGTTATAGTTTGCGGGATAGCCATATCGTATGAGCTTTGCTGATCAAGTTAAGATCGTAGAAACTCACTGTTGGTAGCAGAAGCAGGTACTGATGTCTCTAGTGGCTCTATATTTCTACCCGTAATGCTCGCTTCATTCGTGCTTCCCGAGTCGATATCTTCGATGCAACTTACACAAATTGAATATAAGTCGTAACAGGCATCGCCTGCGCAAAGCTTTTCGTTTCGTTGCATTTGATTCACATATTCCTAAGAGGACTGTATTGAACTTTAGTAGCTTAAACGGAACCCGAAGGTTATGGATATGGTGTACCGCATTTGCAACATCGCGGCGAAGTTGGAGACTTATAGCACGTGTCTTGAACTGACCACCTCTCGCTACTGGATGCTGAACAGCCATGGTGAAATGCAGCGTTGCGAGATAGTTGTTAAAACTTCATGGGGGGCGTTTACCTTATCTTTATGTTTGGCGGCCTTACATGATATGATGGTCTGATGAGATCAAATTCTGCTACCAGTGACACGCCAAATAACATATCTGGTAATCAGAACCGAAATAGGACTTAGGAGCCATGATCGAAGTTACAAAGCAGATACCAACAGCGGTAACATTCCACCAGATCAGAGAGCTACATAGACTTAAGATTCGAGGGACTTCTCCAAAGACACAGCATGCTTCGATCCATACCATGAGGGTTCTCTTGGCTGAAACAAAGTCAGAAGCGAGTTTGATAGAAAGCTCGCACTCCTGTGACATTACCGACGGTAGCTTGAGAAGAAACTCGGAGAAATGGAAATCCCAAAACTGCGCAGAATATTCAAGGGAAGCATATCGAATATTCTGTAAGTCGCGGTCCGCAACGACTTGTGGGCCGCCACCCAAGGGCTCTGCTGGTATGCCATAAAGCAGATATGCTAGACAACAGGATGCGCACGATCGCTGCGCCAGGGACTGTTCCTTGGCGAGGGTTGACATTGATTCTTGAGACTGGTCTTGACGAGATCGATCGGTCAAGTACTCAAGAACCGAAACGTGAACGAACCTTGCTTTCCTCTCTAAATCAATCTGAATGAGTGCCCCAGACATTTGTGACAGGGCCTTCTCAAAATTTGGAATTGTGTCGTATTCGTCCACGGCACTTGACAGCGGAGTTGTGATCGCCACCTCTCACTCATTGACATGCAGAGGTCGGGGAGCATATGAGACGAATTGAAAGGCCCTAGTGATGTTCAACCGCGCCGCTTGCCAGGTTCTTTGCTCTATCGACCGTAGTATCTCCTGGTAGAGTGCATCAAGTCCCTGGAGCCGATTAAGATCCTTGAGGGCTTCGCGACGTTGTCTTATAGAGAGGCTAGGTGATAGGAGGTACGTCAGATGTGATCATCATCAGATAGGCCTGTAAAGCTTGTCTTGGGCAATTGTGTTGGGTAGCTGGTATACTGCCTGGACCGACTTTAATTAGAGTGTTATTTTTAGTTAATAGACCCTATAGCTGATGGCTCACATCAGGCGCCTCACATGCAGGCAAGACCATGCTCATGCTTTCAAACATATCGCACACCCTTTCTAAGAACTTTGCGTGATTAGAGCCTAATTGAAGAACACGGAAAATTAGTGGATACCCGTCCAGAGCCATCAAGTTATCCAAGACTGGCAATAAAGATTAATCGTAGAGATCCCCATGCAAGGGCTGCAAACTCAGGATGAGAGGATACAAACAGACCGGCGATATCGAAAAACGGCCATAAGCGATTTGCAATGCTGTTGATTCCTTTGCAGCATTTGGTAAGTGTTGAGGAATGCACAGTGTGAGATTTAGCATCCCCCTTGATCATTTCCAGCATTGAATTTGCATCAGAAAATTCCTTGAAGAGTGCTTTGTCCTTCTCAGTAAGTGAGTTTCGAAACCCATGGCACGCCTCTCGGAAAATCTGGTAAGGCTCCCTGGTGACGGGGCGTTTTCTATCCATCCTTGGAATCTCAGACTAAAAGAGGGCTTTGTAGTGAAAGTCTGTTGTTTTCTTAAAAGTGTGTATGTCACAGCTGATAGCGATGCAAAGATGTTGATGAAGAAAGGTCCAGAGGCTGGCTTGATCGCGCAAATGCACGATTAGAAAGCCTGATTGTGCTGCGCCACCCATAATCAGCCTCGGTGTATGTGATGGCTCACAGGCAAGATGGTTGGTCGCTGATGTGATGGATAGGGCATAATTTGTGAGTCTGCAAGGGGGTTGGAAATGGCCAAGCCACAACACCATTCAGCCAGTAAGATGTGCCGAGATCTACCCAGATGCGCAGAACTCATACGCGCTAAACCATCTTGCTTATATCTCAGATGCCATTCCACAGGACAGAATTTCGCATCCTTATCCTTCATTTCTCATAAAAACCCATGAGAAATGCTGGACAGAGTCCATTCACTTCCCAACTAGTTTGCAACTCGAGCTATATAAAAATTCACCCAACGCCATATTTGCAGCTCATTGAGCATAAACAACGGCGCTAGGTCTTCATTTACGGCTCGAACATTACCCACAAAGTTCGTATATCCAGCACAACTCCCCCTCGTCCCCCTTTGCAACTTGTGCATAGTGACCATTTTATAGAACTCAGACAAACCTTAGGTGATGCTATCGAGCAACACCCAAGTCTAACAGCTGCCGGCATTTCCAAGCCAGCATCTGGCGAACCCCAATGGGACTTTTCGCTCCATATGAATACTGGCATACTGATTTGGATCAATACATTAACTCCGAGACGCTTGTCGAAGACGTCCCACCTTTGGTAGGTTAACGAATATTTCACAACATCGACTACATAGCCCAAACTTCAAAGTTCTATTTACAAGTGTGGTGGATTGTGAAGATCTTGGAGATCATGGAGCCCTTGTGTCTGGCCTGTTCTATCTTGAGCCTCGCCAGCTCCTCGACTGAGCTCTTCAAATCCGCTCAGCATCTTCGTGGTCGACTGGAAGCTGAGCACAAGGATTATCTTCGCTCATTGCAACAACTCAAACATGCTCTCAGCATTGCCCGTACACGCCTCGCCAGATCCAACATAATGATTTCCCGGGACGTGGGAAAAGCCGTCGATCTCGCCAATGAGACATCCTCCAAAGAGTCGCTCAGTTTTTGCCTCGATCAAGCTGTAATCTCGTTGGAAGAAGAAGCATATTTAAAAACTCTTCGACAAAGCCTCGAGTCCGGGCCGGCTAACACTGACATCGAGAAATGGGATAGGATTTGGAGGAAGCTTTTTCCTGCAACTTCGGTGAATAGATTCGAACTCGCTAAGATAGCCGATCCACCATTTTACGATTTCGGAGACTCTTCCCGGTCCATTTTCGACGAAGCTGAGCCTATCAAGTCTGGAGGATGGTCGCAGGTATCTCGAGTCACAATCCACCTGGCTCGTATGCATGGCTATGGAGATGGAGAGGGCGGAAAAGCTACGTTCGCTGTAAAGAAGATATACAGCGGAAATTATCAGCAGTACGCACGCGAGCGAGACGCTTTGCAAAGACTGAGTCTTGCACAAAGCCCGCATCCTCACATTGTCCCCCTTCTCGCTTCCTACCGAGTGGAAAACAAGTACCACCTGGTCTTTCCGTCGGCTGATTGCGATCTCGCCATGTTCTGGCGGAACCAGCCCAGACCATCGATCGACAAACGCACACTTAAATGGTTTGGTGGCCAGATGAGAGGACTTGCAGATGCTTTGTATACTATCCATGGGCAAAACGGCCAAGAAAGAAAGTTGCGTGGAGTCCATGGTGATCTTAAGCCAGAGAACATCCTGTGCTTCGGCTCCAATGACAGTGAAAGATGGCCAGTGCTCGCGATTACGGACTTTGGATCTTCATACTTCCTGATGCCTGAGGAGAAAGATATTCCGAAGAGCCTCAAACACACGCCAGCCTATCGCGCCCCAGAGATCGATACCGCAACTTTGGGCGGTATTACACAGGCCTACGATGTCTGGAGTCTTGGCTGTATCTTTGCAGAAGCCATCGCTTGGTTCTATAACGGCAAAGCCGGAATTGCGAAGCTGATTCAAGCCCGGCTCGACGAAAAAGACAACAGCCCCAATCGAGATGCATTCTTCCAGTTGCAATACGATAAGCGGGATGGCCTCACGGCAAAGCTCAAGCCTGAGGTGCACAGAGTATGTCTTCTATGCACTATCCATCTTCGAATGTGATCTAACTTCGTTGACAGCTACTCATATCCCTTCGTGAGAGCTCTCAGTCGTCCTTCTTCATTGACGATATGCTCTATATAGTCCTGGAAGGGATGCTCAAAGTCAACATGAGCGAGAGAATGTCAGCTCGGGAGGTCCTCGACGCCTTGACACAGATGTGCAACAAGTTGGAAAGTGATCCAGCTTATTCTGAGCCTCGTGGCACTATTGATGTGGATGTGGAAATGGTAGGATTGCCATTTTCTTTGACGTAGAAATCTGTGTGAAGTCAACTCACTCACACATATATAGGCTTTCTCTTATTACTCCATATATAGCGGCAAGGAGTATTTCGCTAACGGCTTTGCGATCTCAGGTCCACACTCAGCATGTCAGTCAACGAAGGCTCGATAACACGGTCGATGCGAACTATTATACCAACACCACAACCCAAAGTCTCAGTGACGCGGCGGCACAGATTGGCCTGAAGCGTCGTTTTGCCTGCCCTTATCACAAGGCAGGTATACTCGTTTCCGTTCACCATCGAGCTTGTGAAGGCCCAGGATGGATGGATGTAAACAAAGTCAAGTACGTCTACTAACTTTACCTAAACTTGCCTAAACCTACCTCAAATTACCTCGGTTTGATCGAATTTATCTCCGTTTAGGAAGCTTTACCTAAGCTTTGAAAAGATAAGCTAATTCAGAATAGGGAACACCTCTTCCGCTGCCATCTCCAGAAGAAGTACAAAGGCAAACATACCTGCCGGCGATGTGACACCAGCTTCGAAACAGACGAGCTCCTTCTAGATCATCAGCATCAAGAGACCCCATGTCCCAAGAGGAAATCAGAAGCGGTGTACGGCATGCTGAGTAGAGAGCAAGCCGCTCGACTCCGTTCTCTCAAGAGGAAGTCGTCGAAAGAAAGCGAGGAAGACCGATGGTTCGATATCTACCGGATCGCGTTTCCTAACTTCAATCGAAAGCTGGAGAATATCTCACCATGTAAGCATTTAGTGTTGGCCATCTAGCATGTTCATGCTAACCAGAAGATCAAGATCACGAATCCAACAACACCTCCCTCAGTACCATAAACTCGACGAACTCGAACGGAATTTCTCAGTACAAAGACTATCTCCGCAATCGTGATGCTGAGGAGTATGCCGCGAAATTAGCCGAAAATGGCATCATCATCACCCTCGATGCAGCTTCCAAGCTTCTTGAGCTGCAGGTCAAGGAACTTGGGACCTTTGACGAGACGATGCGAGGACCTGTTCGAGCCTACGAGATTCCGATCGATGCAGGTCATGAGAAGACCGGAGGCAATGCCCCCTCCGATCTCAGTGGTTCATCTAACCTCATGGGCCAACTCCACCTTCTGGACAGATTTGGGGATGACTAGGAGCATTGATGATAGTTAAAGCTTATAGTGTCCCAACGGGACATTAGGGGTTCAGAGGCCGAAGATCCCGGTTTCCTTGAGTAAATGGAGGAAAGCTATGAGATATAGGGCTGTTGGTTGTTGGTTTGAGATTTATCCTGGCTCCAGTCTGTCATTAAATAGCCATATTCCACTCCTTTAGTTAGCAATTTGAACTTTGTTTGGTTTGACTAGGTTTGAGTAGATTTGGCCTAATGGCATTATAGCTTTAGAACTTTTCTCATAAAGCTAAGAGAAGTTTTTGGTTGGCTTGTGTTTAGCCTAGTCTAAGTGGCTAGTGTCCTCAAGATGTCACGGTCTAAAGCATTTTGCTCTATGTTCAAATGTTAACCTAAGTCAAATAACTTCGGACTCACATTGACGTCGCGATGTCAACCTTTGAGATCACATAGGCACTATCTCTAGAGCAGTTATAAAGGAGCGTGCGTTATGCGTGATCTCTCCGTCGTCTTCATAGTTGACGATTATTGAAGATAAACAATTTATTGCTTGCTAATTCATACTGGGGCATGCGCAACGCAACATGCTGTGGGGGCCCCGTCCACGTTTTCCTTCCCCAATCATTCAGCGAGCTGCAGTCCACGGATAGAAAAGCGAGCTCGGATAGTAGCACCAGATCCAACATCAAACTCCTCCTCACGGTTCATACCATCAGCACCCGTGACACTATCAAAAGGAATGTCGACGGATCCCTGCTCGCTCGTACCATTCTGTAAGCTAAGCTTGAAGCTGTGCGGGTTAGAAAGCTGCTCAGCGGTGATAGGAAATCGGAATGCAGTGTCGAAAGATGGGTTGAAGATATCGGTTCCAGGGCTGTAGCTCTTGACGGGAGTGACGAATTCCTTGTCACCCCAGGTCACCTTGACGCTAGGCTTGAGCTCGTCGCGTTGGCCGTTGAGGCCATTAACGCTGGCGATGAGGACGGTGGCAAGACCGCAAATTTCGCCCTCATTTTGGCTGCTGGCGGAAATGCTGTTGGATTCGCCGACAAAGTTGAAGAACTTGCCGTGAATAGTCACCTTGGTCTCGAGGGGCTGGCCCTTGTGAGACAGGGTGAGGGTTTGGCTACCGCCGTTCAAGAGAAGTTGCTTGACAGTTGTCGTAGCAATACCAATATCATCATCGCCACCAAGATCCTCATCGTTCACATCGATAGTGATGCGCTGCTCGTAATCCGTTACAAGGAAGTCGTGAGTCTCGTTCCACTGAGGGTCGTGTTTATTCTTAATAGTCGAAGTTCGCCACTCTCCCTCAGCACCGACGTTGACATCACAGTAACAGTCGGGAATATCCTTGACAAGCTTCTGGAGAAGTCTCTTGGCGCCGCTCTTCTTCTCGCCCGTAATCTCAGTTGCGTTATCGACGGTGAGGCGAAGAACACCGTGGTGGGGCTGGAAGGTCTTGAAGTAGTCGTTGGAGGAGTCGAGCTTGACGAGGAAGCGGTTGGGGAGGACAGCCATGGAGGAGATGATGTTGAGAATGACCTTGCGGACGGTCTTGTCGATCAAGGAGAAATCAGCGATGTTGGCGGCGTCGGTAAAGTCGAGGGACAGATCTGGGGGGTTAATGAAAGCCACCTGAGCAGCTCCGATCTGTGGATTATGTCAGTGTCGAATATTGTATCGAAGTTGGAGCTTCATACCAATGGAATGGTGTTTGTCAAAGGACAAAGCAAAATGGACAGTCGTCCCTTCATCTTCACATGTTCGATACCCTGCAGCACCAATAATCAGCAACACGCAATATTGAGGCCAGCCAAAGCGGAGCTTACAATCTTGGGCACCATCGACGCGTCAAGCTCGAAATCGCACTTGCCATCCCAATCCAAGTCCATATCAAGTTTGATGCCCTCGAGTTCGGTCTTGTGCACGTCAACATTAGAGAATCTGATAGGCGTAGGTCCAAAGTCCAGCTTGACGAAGCGGAGGTTCGCGAGAGGACCTGGCAGCATCTGGTCAAGCATGGGTTCGACGACATCTTTGATGATCTTGCCGCCTGCGACGTTGATGTTTGGCCACAGCTGGGCGACGATGTCGTTGAGGAATCCTAAAAGCTGTGAGCGGGATAATTCGAGACGTCATGAGGAGTGGAGGGGATTAGGTACCGGCAGATTCCGCGCCTCCAGAGGCGGTAAGAGTATCTTTGAGAGAAGCCATGTTATCCATCTTGGTGGGTGAAATGAGAGAGAAAGGAGGGAAAAGGTCAAAAGGATGAGCGCGAGATGTCGTATAAATAATGATGACGATGCAGCTGAGAAGGTGAAGCTCTGCGGGGTTTGGGAGGTGAATGGTCCGACAGTTTGAGGTCCAGTCCAACTCTGATGCAAGACCTAAAGCTCTAGACCACGCCCTGACGTCATTTGTGCTTCGCTGTCAGGCTTGACAGGGGTGAATATCCTGTTCACTTGCCCCTAGACCAGCTGAATCAGCGTCATGAATTACAGATGAAACGATCTTATGGATGATTCTTGATCAGATTAAGCATTCTGCCAAGCTTTCGATCCGTTATTTGAGCTGCAACCTTATTTTTGGGCGACTCTGGGCGAGGTTCTAAAAATATCGGGTGCGGGCTGGGCAGACAGGGATTAATTGTGCCGCATCATCCGATTGTCACTGTAAAATCTACCTAACCTGGGAGCATCGACAGAATCAACTGGAAACAGGAAACTGCTACAACGACATGCTGATCACATGACCCTGTATAGGATGCCTAGTTCAAATGATCAATATTTATGCGATCCAGAAAAAGATTGTATGGTTCTGGAGTCTTCATTGAAACCAAGATTCAGCAAGAATCTCATTTGGTGAAGCTCGTAGCGATGGCTCGAATCTCATTAGACGAGCAATCAGCTCTGCCGCTCGCTTGGTATCGTTTTTCGTGAACTCTGGCTTCTTATCGGTGTCGAAATAAACCTCCTCCAACCGACTGTGAAGTTTCAAACCATCATCCGGTTGTGTTGGCGTTCCTTGCATTGCTTGCCATTTGGCTTGCCATCGTGACGGCAATTCATCATCGATGAGCTCAATCATTTGCTCAACGAGAATTGGGGGAGTCAACATTATGACATCAAAGGGTGGCTGGCCAGTAATCAGTTCAAATATCTGCGCTCGTTAGTTGAGTAATCACTGAGCTTACAAAATACACTTACCAAACAGCCAGTGCTCCAAAGGTCAACACGGTGATCGAGCTTGTCCCCGAAAACAATTTCTGGAGCGCGCACTGGTAGTGGAGTATTTAACGTGCTTGGTATGTCTTCACTAAGAAACGCTTCACCGAAATCAATGATTTTGATCGATGGCTTAGCAAGTATGCGCTGAACCTCTCGGTGTCCAAAGGATGCAGGTCGGACGATTCGAGCAGGCAGACTCTTTGGCAGAGGCGCGTCATCAGGTCCCAGAACCAACCCTTCGTCGGGCTCACCCAGCTTGGCTATAAAGTTTTTCTCGCTAAGCGAATGTAAGTCTGGGATCGTCAAAGCCAGATTTCTCGTATGAATATCTATGTAGAAATTTAGCGACATCAGAAGGAAGCTTATAAAATGTTGGGACCTTACCGCCGTGGCCAATGTTGCTAGCAGAAAGGAAATCAAGCCCTTGAAGTATCTGCTTGGAGAACAATCTCGCGGCATTTGAAGGAAGCCTGGAATCCTTGAGATGTCTTTCAACGACATCTGCAACGTTGGGACCGACAAGTTCAAGGACCAAGCAATCGTGCGAGCTGTTGGGGCCAACAATGGTAAAGTAGTCTAACATTTTGTTCACGTAATGTGACCCGGGGTTATTGTTAGGCTGAGAAGACAGAGCTTGCAGCACTTTAAGCTCTCTGCTCTGCTTTGCCTCAGACTTTGTCACCTTGAGGGCAACATAAACGTCATCTCTGTTTCAAGTTAGTGTTTGCAAGGCAATCATAGGTGATAGACATACTTCTGATCTTTTGCAGCCCATGTAGTAGAGTAACTACCCCAGCCTAGCTTATGGAGAATTTTATATCGTCCGCCTTCTAAGACATCGCCTAGTGCCAGGGGATGGTAGCCACCAGCTTCGTAACGATGCAGCGGCTCTGCATCAACGCTGCATCTATATTTTTGAGCTAGCATTCGGGACTGGTGTCGACGAAACTCATAGAATGGATTGAAGGAACGAAAATAGATTGACCGCGTCACAGCTCTATGGGGAAATGGCATCAGAGAACTTGGCTTTATCATGGCGTTTGCGAGCCGTGGTTTGCAGCTGTAAACATGAAAGAGGATTAGGCGCTCATGTTCACAATCATGGAGCCTGGAGGCACGTGACGCTAGTTGGCGGTCGATGAACTCGGCTTCGTTGTAATCCTCTCCACCGAGCTTATAATTAGAAGTGAGATGTTGGGTCTCGCTGGAACAACGTGTTTTTTCGTAACAAGAAATTTTGCGCCGTGCCTTATGCAGTGCAGGTCTTCGCCTTGTGTTGGCGCCTACAGTCAACGAAGTAAGAGGCCAGCACAGTGATGACACTTAGCGAACCACCACTCACACGAAAACAGAAACCGATCTCACACAAGCCATTCGGATCCAACGCCGCATGTGACAGTGCTTCTGTCACCCGATAGTCAAGCTGAGATGAACAGATCTCAGGCTGTCCGTATCTACCATGATGAAGAAGGAACCTACAGAGGACATGTCTTGTATAAGGAGCGAGTAAACAATTCCACTGCTGATTAAGCCGACCTGTTATGAGGAAGTTAGTCGCAGCCGTAGACATGCAACGAATTCAATGCAGCTTACCTCTCATGCTCGGGGAGCTTGCCTGCGCTGTCGTCACTATATCGAGTACCTGGAATTAGTTCTGAGGGACTTGTTCTGGGCTTGTAAAGCATGTCATGCCCTAGTATGATGGATTAGTAGACTAGATTAATAAAGACTGTATTTATAAATTATGTTGCTATTTAGGTAGCTTAGCCGGAGTGCATATTTGCTGAGTCTCCGGTTTAGGCTCTCACTGAAGAACTCATAATTTCAGCTGTTGAACAGCTCGACGACTGATCTTTGGAAACCGTTGATTAGGAAGGGATTTATGAATGAAGCTAAACATCTAAGCCATCAATCATGCATCACTAACTACCCCTTTCGTTGCCCTCGACTTCTACTGTCCTTTAGACGACTTGGGCTGATATTCAGCCTCCAATCTAAGTCCAGCAGTAATCATGCTTTCCCATAGCTCCGACCTGACATCCATTCTTGCAGTACTTCTTGAACTTGATAGTTCCATTGGGGCCGCACGAGAAGAGGGCATCATTGATCTGATTTTTCTTGAAACACGTAGCTTTGGTCGCGCGGGTAAGCTCGTCAGAAATGGTGGTGTAGTATTTGCCTATGGGAGAAGATTGTCAGAGATACTCTAGCTTGACAGATCTAAAGCAGAGAAACTCACCAATATCGAGGAGGAAGTGGCCGCAGTGGTCAAGCTTAGGGGTGCAGTTTCGCGCCTCTCCAAAGCCAGCCAGGGCAGCGACGAGAGTGAGTGGGATAAAGCTAATCTTCATATTGAGAGGGTATATTGGTATAATGATGTGTGAAGTGAGTTGATGTTGCAATGTGTTTAGTTGGCGATGTTCCGGGTTTTATAAGCTTAAAACAGACTCAGCTGCTAGCAAGGGGCTTCACCACCTTTTTAGCCTTGTGAGATCTAGACCCCTAAGCTAGCGACTCTAGATCCTATTATCTGTGTACTATGGCTTGTTGAGTCTTATTACTCTTCAGCCGCAGGCGCCACTCCGTGACGGTGCGGATATGAGCTGGATTAGCCCACCGAATCGAGACGGAACAAGTAACCTTTGACATTGGCAAAAAGGGACAAGAAAGAATTATTTTTAAGACTAAAGTCTTTCTTGCTATTATTCTCTACTTAGGTCAGCTAATAGGTTAACTTTGGCTTTTGGAATAAGCATTCTGTGATAATTCCGACCAATCTCTTGACTGGAATAAAGAGCTTGAAGTGTTAAGAGGTAATTAGCGTAAGCCACTTCGCTTATTTTCACTTCACCAGGGAACATGAATATATTTATTGCTCAGGCACGGATCACTAAAGTCATACCTGTCGAGCCCTTTGTGGAAGTTGTGGTGTTGAAATCCAATACTTCAGCCCCGGGACCGGCGGACATAAACCAACTCATAAGAGCTTGAGTGGAGAAAGAAAAGCAAACAATCCTCAGTACCATTGATCACTGGCTTTTGACATACTATACAGCTGGGCCGATCATATTATATCTTCTGTTGGAATATGAGTTGGGATTAGTCCAGTAACTTACCCTAATAAGCCGTTCCATGTCATGATCCCTGCACGTTGTTCGGGTCTGCCTGCTCGTTCGGGCCCCGCGGGCATCCCAGACGTGGCCAACTGCCCTGCACGTTCCGCTTGCGGACAGTAGCATCGTTCTCAAAGTTTCAGGGTAAATGAATGGGTAGGTCATGTCATTTTTCACTCTTTCAAACATAGCGCGGCTACAGTGGCTCATATATGGCCGTTCGGAACCTCGGATACCCACAACTCCTACCATGTACAGCCTCGCACAGGCTACGGGAGACCCCCGCGGCGCCCGATGATTTGCTATGCTACCAATGAATGCGATTGTATCAGACACGGACCTGAACTGACTTGAATATTTATCTTCACTGCCGTTCCCTTTCTTGGAAGAGAACTTACAGCATGAAATCAGCAGACTCAATACAAAGCCAAGCATTTTCTCCTTAATTACTAAGGTGGATTACGGAACTCATCCCATCAAATAACTTCACCCTCCCTCTTGACCATCCAATGGCAGTCATGGGATCCAACCATAATAACTTGTTCGAACTTCCCGCTAACGAAGCCATCAATACTCGCCCTGCAGGATACGACTTCAAGAATCCTTACTTTCCTCCACCACCAGCATATTCCGCCGATAATACATCCACCCAAGAACAATCCACAGGGATTCAAATAAACCGAAAGTCAGGTTTTGCCAATCGTCTTCACGTCCTCAGTGCTAAGATTGCTGGTCCCGTGAATGATTTTGCAAACAAGCTCGGATGCGAGGCATTCATGCCAACATCGCTAGACAAAGAGTGTGAGAAGGCAGCAAGAATACTTACATCATTCTGTGGTATGTATCCTTTATGATGCACGGGGGAAGAAAATTGTGGCAAGAGTTAGACTAACATTGCCTACAGAGGGAACGTCACTTCCGCCAAACGAATCATTATCAAGACGAAAGGCAATAGTCAAGATTCCCCGACAAGTCCTCAAGTCAGCTGCAGGTCTCGCCATCTTCACCGCATTTCGCTCTGGCGCGCAATTTTCCTGGGGTAGCGGTTTAGGCGTTGTGGTAGCACGACAACCTGATGGGTCATGGTCACCACCATCTTCCTTCGCCGTCAACACCCTCAGCGTTGGCTTCATGGTTGCTATGGACATATACGACTGCGTCTGTGTTCTGAGGACCCCGGAAGCCGTGGCTGCGTTCACCAAATCAAGGGTCTCCTTCGGGGGCGAGGTGGCTGTGACCGCTGGGCCGGTTGGAACTGGCGTGTATGTTGATTCTGCCGTCAGCAGCGACGGAGCTGCCGAGCCTATATGGAGCTATGTGAAGAGTAGGGGCCTTTATGTGGGAGCACAGATTGATGGGACTGTCATCACGACGAGGGATAAGGCGAATGAGGACTTTTACGGGGTGGAAGTTAATGTTGCTTCTATCCTGCGGGGCGAGGTTCCAGCTAGAGGGCGTATATGCCCGGAAGGATATTGGAGGCTGAATAATGTGTTACGACAAATAGACTATGGTAATTGAAGGCGCTATATATGGGTCCTTTGCTTTACTTTGTACAGTAACTCACCTTGGATGGGGCATCAGATACTTCAAGATATGAGATAATGACTGGAATACTATCGGTAACTTCTAAGATAGAGACACGACTCAGCTGTCCTTCATCGGCCGTGATTGACTGCATGGAGCCACGGCTCCCGAATCCATTGACCTTACACGACATCTGTTGTGTGCTCTGACACTAGCAGCTGAATCCTGGCCTAGCTAGCCCCAATGGAGATGGCTGCGTTGACTCACGGCAGTTGTTGAACCTTAAACCTTGAAGAGGCAGGGTTTAATCTCGTTCATATACCGCGCCATCCGTACAAGCATTATTTGCTATGATGATCTTTCCTTCTTCAACTTCCATTCTTCAGTGAATCCAATCCTTCCTACGCGTTTTGAGTGGTCACATCATCCTTATCAACGCGATGGACCACCCAGAGCAAACCTCAATGTCTCAAATCGTGGTTCTCGCCTGTAGCATCCTCGTGTGTTTCGCGAGCACCATTCTCTTCATCCCGAAAAGTGCAGTCCTGAACAGACTCGGCGCAGCGGTGGCTCTGAGCTGCCTGCAGCATTCCTTTTACACGTCCCTTTTGACATCATCGTTGCCTCCAGCACAAATAACAGGCATATCTCTGTTCAGCTGGGGACTCTACGCCAATGCCACTGAGCAGATTCTGCTATCGCGCTACGATGCCGATGATGTCCTCACGGTGAAGTAAAGGCAGTTGGGACGCCGTTTAAGCACTGTCGCCCAGTTCCTTCGTGCCGTGGGCATGTATTTCAGCCTGCGACGAGTTGGCTTGCGAGGGGAGGTTTCGATGAAGCACAGGGCCCCGACAAATTCTGTTAGGTTTATTACAACGAGGATCATCCAATGTCTTTGCTGTTATCTTGTCTTGGATGCCATATTTCTCGCGCCTCGGCCAGAGAAGCACTTGATCACGAGAGAAAAGCAGTCACTGTTCAAGCTAACAAGCCTCACTCGGGAAGACCTAATCTTTCGCTTTGCTACTGCCCTTGGGAACTGGGTTATTGGCTATGTTTCGGTACGACTGGCCCACGGTTTTATAGCTACTGTATCTGTTCTGCTTGGCTTATCTAAGCCAGAGGACTGGCCGCACCTCAACGGGCCAATAAGTTCATGGTCCACTGTCCGAACATTCTGGGGGTAAGTGAACCTCTCCAAAACCCTGTTGATAGATATAGTAACCGTGTACTAAATGTATCTTAGGACATTTTGGCATCGACTTTTCCGCAAGGCTCTAACCGGGTGGGGGGACTTCATTCCAGATAAGGTTCTCCGGCTCCGTCGCGGTACACTCTTGTCACGATACTTACGCTTGACATTGTCATTCTTTGCCTCTGGACTTATGCACCGCTGCATACATTACTTCTACCGTCTTGAGGCCGGGGAGCGGTATGAAATGGAGACTTATTTCCTTCTCCAGCCGCTGGCAATCATGTTTGAGGATGCGGTGCAGGCTGCAACGGTACACATTCCCCTCCCAAGGCCATTACGTTGGATGATTGGGTTTACCTGGTTCTGCATATTCACCACGTGGGTGACGCCATTGTTCCTTTACCCTACTATGCGAGTGGCAGATCCAGGGCAGTTGCTTCCATTTTCAGTCGTGGGCCATCTTATGAAGTATTAATAGACATATCCTGCCAGGTATGGTTTTCGTTCTTTGTCAGAGTGGCTATATCACCCTTGGAGAACCACAAGCACAGCCGTATTATATGAGGGTTTCGCTGCCTCGATCGGAGATATTTCAGATTAGGAAACTCATTCCAGCTAAATATACAGTTGATGAGCCAATCGCGCTTTTGCATGGCCAGGATAATTCAAAAGCCAAGAGAAAGAACTGGATCTTTCTTATGGATTTCGTTCTGTAGCCAATTGGAGACAAGGATTCCGGGGCAGTGAGAAGTCACATACTAAGCACTTAGGCCTTGGCAGAAGACCTCGCCTTATGTGATCGCAAGGGTAGAAGATATTTTCCGTAAGCTCATCGTCCGGTTTAGTGATAGCTCTATGTCAGCCTCAAGTACTGCGCTTATGGATAAACAAAATGAGAATATGTTGATGTTATAAAGCAGTAGCGGGACGCTCGAGATGGACTACATTCTCATCACCATTCACAACTATCAGATCAACATTCAAACTCTCAAGCATCACAGCATCTTCCCAAGCATTACTTACTATCAATTCATTCTATACTTAGCATCACACACTCAAGATGGTTGCCATCAACACTCTCCTCACCTTTGCCGCCACCCTGGTCCCTCTAGTTACTGGCGCTGCCCTACCTACTCATGAAGATTTCTCCCTCACGAGGCGTCAAAACCAAGACAAGTCCTGGGACGACTACCACCGCCAAAACGGAGCATTCGCAAGACAAGGCCTCTGCCTCTTCTACCTCGACCCATCTCCCCGCGACGGTGCGTGGGCATGCGGCGTCTACTGCAAAAACGACCGCACCAAGATCTGCACCACCGTGCATCCCAGCAAATTCACAAACGACATGCTAGGCGCAAACCCAGACGGCGAACGCTATGCAATCGGGAAATGTCAATGCGACACTTCAGCAGCGGACTTTCTTGCTACAGCTACTGTTGATTTCACAGCTAGAGGTCTTGACAAGGGCTTCAGAGAGATCGGAAGCGTTACATGTGAGATTATGGTGAATGTTATGAAGGAGGCTGTTTTTGCGAGCACTTATGCTATTCCTGGTGTTGGGCCTGTTGCTACAGCTGCCAGGACTGTTGCGAAGGGTGTGAAGCTGGCTTCTAAGACGCAAGGCGGCAAAGATATGTGGACGGATGCTGTTAAGGAGTCTTGTAACTTCCGTCGGGATGATGAGTTGCTGAACAAGGGTTTTGGGATCTTTGAGGGAGCTCCTGATGAGTTCTAAGGACCATGGCCTTGGTCGACTTTGGATGGCAGCATTTCTTTTGATAGACGTCTTTGTATTTGGCTCGAAATCCGGGAATCTAGCATATAGAGTGTATTTAATTTGATGATAGATGGTAGAACATAAATTATTTGTTTGCCGAAGTTCAAGTCAATTTGACTTTCTTATAATGGTTCATCTGTTCCAGCAGGTTGCTAACTCGTTGGCTGGACTGACGGTGCTTGCCACGGCTGTAGGCTGTAATTGGGTAAGGAAACGTGAATGACCTGCAGCATAAAAGTGCAAACATAAGCATGCATTAGTGGATGGCATAAAACAGGGCACGTGAGGCACTGGCGATAGCATCAGCTCTCGCTTGTCAGGCCTCATCAAACCAACTGTCAACCAGCGAACAAATCACAACTTGAGCCACAAACCACTTCCGATACCATGTCCAAGGCATCTACTGCCAGCGCATGGCTCGGAGCTCCTCCCGTCGCTGAAGACGGCTTCGCATTCGCCGACGGTGTATTTTTCGCCCAATCTTCTGGCCAGAACCGTCATCGGCGCGCTACAGCGACCGAGCTCAAGGAGCATTTCACTTCTGGCAACGACAAAGATCACCCGGCGCACTGGTTTGAGGCCCAACTCATTCACTACGGCCTTCCACCATCCAAGACCAAGTCTGTCGCGCGCATGCGATTGTTTGACGCTGTTAATGCAGGTAACCTCAAAGTGCCAGCTAATGTGAGCAAACTTGAGACCAAACTGAAGAAGGAATGGACAAAGAACGATCGTGAGGCGAAGAAGGGTGCAGCGAGCAAACCTGCAGTGCAAGCAACGCCTGTGAAGACTGAGACAAAGAAACCGACTGCAGTGGGTGCCAAAAGAAAAGCAAACGACGACGAAAGTAACGCGAAAGCCAAAAAGCCAAAGACGGTTGCACCAAAGACTGCAACACCAAAGGCAAAAGCGCCAGCGAAGACACCAGCAAAAGCACCCGCCAAAAGCACGGCAAAGACAGCGGCAAAGGACCCTGAAACGGGCCCCGCACCGACACCAGCGCAAAAGCCCCAGACTGCGCGCAGCGTCAGAGGCGGTGCATCCCGAGGCCCTGGCAAAGGCGCAAGGACTGCTGCAACAGAGCCGGCAAAACCGCCTCGAACTAAGCAAACTGCAAGCCGAGGAAACGGATCGCGACGGTCAACTGGCCCAAGCCGCCCGACAGCAAGAGACCCTTCTCCCGAAGCACCCAGATTCGCAAAGCCTCAGACTGCTCGACGCGGCGGCGCTTTTGCGGCCCGGGGACGAATACCCGCTCCGTCCGGCTACGATGATGCTCCACCCCCATACTCGGAATTTCCAGATCAAGATTACTCCTCGGATGAGAACAACGGCAGCGATGACGTCGACGAGGTCAGTCTTGCACCTTTGGGTCTTTTAAACGGCGACTACGAAGTTGAATCGCTCGATGTGAGCGAGCAATGGGATTTTGATCCTGATGAGTTCCAATTGACCCTCACAATTTCTGGCAACAGACTCTGGGGGAAGTTTGACCTCGGCGTCTACAAAGGCGTACTCCTCTTTGAAGAACGTCCCATGCGCTCATCGCATGATCGCGTCTGGTTCAAATGGCGGGGTCGTGAAGATCAGGGACCTATAATGTACGGGGACCGCAACGAAGGTTGGATGGAGTTTCTTGGCGACGGTCGCATTGAGGGTTGGTTGGGCCACCAGTCTCTCTCATTCCAGGCTCGTCGACTGCCTGGTCAAGGAACGCGCAGCAGCATTGATGCTCGCACTCTGCAGGATGAATGGAACGGGTATTCATATGATTTGTACGAAGAGGAGAATCGGGCGCGGTGGCGATGAGCTTGATTCGTTTGGGGTAGGTTCCCGCGGGTGAGAGGACATAATTGGTTACATGTGACGCCGATCACTGAAGAGTTTGAGATGTTGGAGTTGAGACCTTTGCACAGAACATTGCGGTTTTCAAATATTGTCGGAAGAGAAACTGGGTATAATAAGTGTCCTTGCTAATAGTGAAAACTGGTAATACACTGCTTCTATTTATCGCACTGAACTGGTCAAAGCACGCGGCATTGTCCGAATGTTAGTGAAAGGCCTCACAGTGAGACGGTCAAGCGGAGCAACACGGGAGGGACAAGGATCACTCGCAGCGCCCAGCTTTTCTTAACTTTGGGGGTTTTAAAAACAAGAATTTTCCCATTCTCATTTTTCACCCTGTGCCTCAAAACATCGTTCCCTCATTTTAACTCGGCCAGAAAATGCATCATGAGTGCAATTCGAGGCTTCCTCAACGCCTTCAAGGCCCGCAGTCCCCCAATCACTGGGATAATCAACCTTAAACCCCTCAGCGACTCCAACGCCCGATTGGGGAGAGCTTTTCTCGAGCGCTGCAACCCCTTTAGAGACATTCCCAAAGACGCGAGGCTTGAGAACACGCTGTGCGAAGTACGCTACATCGATCGTGTTCTTCGCGACACTCTTGTTCCTACGTCGTTACCGGGTGATGATTATCACTTTTGCTCGAAATTACTGCGCAGTTTGGAAACGAGGCGTGATTTAACGTGGTTGGTTCTCAGGGAGACGGATATAAAGGATACGATTGGTGCTATTGCGAGAAGAGGTGGCCGAAGGGCGCCTATTCCCGACGAACCTCACGATATTCACGGCCGCGCGAAAGCTCTTGAGAGGCATTGGTCAGCGCTGGAAAAATGCCACACCAAGCTTCGAGAATGGGAGCCGAAATACGCGACGCAATCACAACCGCCTCTTTTGGAACAAGAAGAAGCATCTGTTCTTGAATTGAGCGACGAACAGGCTGCGCATGCAGAGATTGAATATCGAGAATGGCGCTCCGATCGCGATAGAAAAGTATCGTATTTAAAGTTAAATCCACCTGAGCCAGCGGCGTTTATACCTGTTGAGCGACGAGATATTCAGACGGATGAGACATGGAAGATACTTCCGCCTTCGGAGAGTGAAATCGGTATGAGACTTTTGCCAGTGTGGACGCCGATTATTTTTCAGGAGGTGCCGCTTGATTGGGAGAGTCCTGATTCAAGTTTGAGGAGTACGCTTGGGGAGAGGAGGAGGAGGGATGAGTTTAGGAGGAGGGAGAATGATAGGAGGGAGAGGAAATATGAGTTTCAGAAACAACTCCGTGAGGAGATGAGTCGGTCATGATGTCTGGGTTGAATTACTGGAGCTTCGGTTGGGTTGGTGACCTGGGATATATAAGGTCTTGGTGTTTGCATATAAGCTTGATATTCAACATACATCAGCATAGACAACAAGAACAGAAGGGACAGAAGCATATGTATCTATGCTAGATATATAAGACAGGTACACGGTGAAATACGCCTATAGGGCCAAAAGGATAAGTCCTAGGCTTCGAGATATATACAAGAGAAGGGAGTGGAGGATGATCACAGAGAAGAATACCCACCAGTATAGAAGTTCGTCCTATAGCTAAGACCTTGGTTTCTTGCTTATTAACAACAAGATAGGGTTTGGTAACAAAGCCACGAGTTGGTAAGAATAGAAACCAAGACACAGTAGCCGAGTACTCTTGATAACGAGTAGTTCATCGCAACCCGCGAAGAGTCTCCCAACGGCTTTTCTTTAGGTTCCCACTGGAATGCAACGCTATCCTACACTTGGTCTGACATTTTTAACATCCGATTCTCCAAAGTCTATCACACACCGAAGTCTCATTCTCCTACCTCTTCCAAGAACAAGCTTCTTGTCACAAAACTCTAAGCGAAGCCTCTCCCCAAATCAATTGGTCAATTGCCCTCCATCGAACTTTTGTCAAACGGCCCAGCCAATTGGATCCTCCCGCCTAGCGATCGACACGAACAGCTTATCGTACCACGATGCTGATATCACGGACCCCGCAAATAGCTGCATTAGGAAGGCACAGATAAGTATTCATGCCGAACTTCCGTGCTGGCTTGTTTACTGCGCTGTGTACCCTTGTGAGTAGGACTTTATCTTGGCAAAAGTTCCTCTGATTGTCGGGCTGTGTTACGGGGAATTATTATGTATCTCGTATAAATATCAACTGTGCTGCCTGTCTTGTCCGGCAGTACCGGGCTTTCTTTCAACTGTAAAGGATTCTTGTACGTCAAGATGGGTTTGAAGACAGCTCTTTTGTCAGTCTTGGGCTTTGTTGCCTTGACGAATGCTTCGGTTATTCAACCTCGTACATCAAAGCCTGCATATTCTCAGTACTACAACAAAAAGACTTCTCGTGAGTTGATGACGCGATGAACCTGATGCACGGAACTAAACCTTACCAGCTTATTATGTCCCATCGACTGGAATCCCCGAAGTCTCATTTGATATCGGCGAAAGCTATGCTGGTCAAATCCCTGTTGACTGGAAGAAGACTGGCTCCAAAGATCCCAAATTCTTCTATTGGTTCTTCCCGACTGTTAACCCAGCTGGAAAGGACGATGTCGTGATTTGGTTCAATGGAGGACCAGGCTGCTCCTCTCTAGAAGGTATTTTTGACAACCACTTTGATTGTTTCGTTACTGACGCGACTTTAGGTCTTACACAAGAGAATGGCCCGTTCTCGTGGAAATATGGAACTTACAAGCCCGTACCAAACGCTTGGTCATGGCACAAACTCGCCAACGTCATCTGGTAGGATCTCACCCTTCACAAAAGTATCATACCCAGCTAATTTATTTCAGGGTTGAGTATCCCATTGGCACCGGCTTCTCAACTGGCCATGTAACAGCAAAGAACAACACTGAAACAGCAGCCCAATTCGTCGAATGGTGGAAGAACCTCGTCGATACTTTCGGCCTGCAAGGCAAGAAGCTCTACGTCACCGGTGAAAGCTACGCCGGTGTCTATGTTCCCTACGTCGGCGCTGCTATGCTCGATAAGAAGGATACGAAGTACTATAACGTCAAGGGCGCTCTTTACTACGATCCTGTCATGCCGTATGCTGATAAGCTACACCTTGACCATGCTGCTTTCCCAGGCTTCTTCAGGCATTGGGAAAGTGTCTTTGCGATTCCGGATAAAAACAAGAAGATCCTTGATAATGATAATGAGAAGTGTGGATTGGATAAGTATCGTGAGGCTCATCTTACATATCCCCCCCCTCCGGCGCCTTGGAAGCCTGTTCAGGTCGAGGGATGCGACATCACGGCTCATTTCGAAGAGGTCAACACTGTCATCAACCCTTGCTTCAACGTTTACCACGTCCAAGATACCTGCCCGGTTCTTTGGGATGTACTCGGCTTTCCCTCTGTTCAGTACACTCCTCCCGGCGCTACACTCTTCTTCAACATTCCCGGTGTCCGCAAGGCAATCCACGCTCCAGCTAACCCCAAGGAATGGGCATCGTGCTCAGGCCCAGTCTTTGTCGGCGACGACGACAGATACGACCCCGCCGAGCACGAGAAGAAGTTCCGAACTCTCGTTGAAAAGACCAACAACGTCATGATCGGATCCGGTATGGCTGATTATATCATCACTTCCAACACAACAGCCCTAGCCGTCCAGGGTCTTAAGTGGAACGGCAAGCAGGGTTTCCAGACTGCACCGAGTGCAGAATTTGTTGTTCCGATTATCAACAACACGGAGAGCAATGTTGAGAACTGGGCGGGTGGTAGTGTTCAGGGGTCGGTCCACTCAGAGAGAGGATTCACTTTGGCGACGGTCAAGACTAGTGGACATATGGTTCCGCAGTACGCGCCGCCTGCTGCCTTTAGACAGTTGGAGCATATGCTTGGACGGGTGAAGTCGCTCACTGATGCGGAGCCCTTTTCTATTAATATTTCTACTTCTTTCAAGTGGCCGTACTAGATAGTTCGGTATTCGGGGAATACAGTGCAGAAAGGCTGCCTGAATCTATTTATTGTTGTCACTATAGATCCGATTTCTGCGACGTCGTGATTTTATCTTCAGAAGCTATCAATCAACTTTCAACTTTCGGTCAGCCAGAACTGTCTATGTTGATTTTTAGGCCATCAAAATAGTCTCGAACGACGCCACCACTGACGACATACCAATCTCGTAGGAAATGATAGCGGCTGCTGGGTTGCGTTACCGGCGGCCGCTTCTGGGTGAATTCTTGAATAGTTCTCTCATCTTCTCATATGGAGGTCATAGACATTCTGTAGTGTTGAGCTAACCTTCCTTGGCCGCGGGATTGGAGGCACGTTTTTATACGCCTCTAAGGCCGGCTAAAGAGTCATTATCTAGGCTTTCCTCTTATTAGCCTTATACTATAGCAATTAGTCAGACATCTTGATATAATGTCTAAGTTGTGAGCTAGAAGTGCTATTTGCCGCTGAGACCTGTAGCTGAGAGCTTAATCCAGCCGAGAGAACCTAGTCATAGACATTCAGTGCGACTGGAAAGTGAAAGAAGCTTATCTATATGAGGCATTTTTAAGCATGATAGAGGGTCTCGGTGCAAATACTAATGACGATGGCGCAGCTGAGAGTCCCTTGGTCCTGACAGATCATGGTGTGACGGGTCCTAGCCTGGCACTTAGTAGGTAGTTATAGCGTTGACACTTTTAATCACAGCTGCCTCTATAGATCTAGTAACAACTGCTCGAACATCATTTTTAAATGTTCCCCAAGAATGCTTATATACAAGGATTAATTCGATTGGATCAAAATAGTGTCGTGGAGTTATCATCTGCACCAACGACCACATTGGAACGTAGAGTGACTTCACTGCTTGGACAAATGAACTCGTCGGATGACGATGTTGAGCTTTCAAGCCAACACTAACCATAGTGGCGCAGCTGAAAAGACTTTAGAATGTTCTGATCGTGCCATAATAGCATGGCTTGACCTGACCTGAATGGCCTTGAAGCCAGTCAATGCTTCAAGTCTTACAGCCCCTAGATTCAAGATTCAGGCGGCGAGGGTTGCGCAAAGCCCATGCACGATAGAGATACGAAGGGTGGCGAATACTTAAGTTCAATTCTATAGTTTTATCTCTGAAATCCATAATTAAAAGTGCGCAAATGGCATGAAAGTTATACAAGTGATAAGAGAGTCCGATCAGTGACACTATGCCCTGATTATGTATGTCCCATGGTGTAAGGGGAGTGAGGGTCTATCTAGTTCTTGCCCTTATAAGCAAAAGAAGTTTTCATATAATCCACAACAGTCTTGGAAAGAAACTTCTGAAGATATGAAGGCTCGGCAGTTCCAACAAGTTGCTCCACCGCCTTCACAACAGCCGCTGGTAGATCGAGAGCCTTGAGGATTTGAGGGTAATCAGTGAACGATCCGTGAACAGTGTCCTTGACAGTAGTCTCCTTCTTGGGTCCCCGAAGCTTGGCGTAGAACGTCTTCCATGTGGTGTCTTCCTTACTGTGGTTAGGGCGACCGATAAGAAAGAATGGCTTGTCGAGTCCCTTGCTGAGAGCAGGTTCGAAGATCTGACCGTCCAGGTCCATTCCGCCACGGATTCGGTTGTCTGATAGCATTGCTATAGCTGCGCTGGCACCGCCGAGGGAATGACCGAGGGCGACGATTTTCTTGTTGTCGATTGAGCCGGGAAGACCTTTAAAGACCTTCTTTTGGAAAGAGGGACGTAGAAGTTCTGAGATGGTGAAGGAGATGTCCTTTGCCTTGACCTATGAAGAGTTAGCAAATTCATTGTGCGACACGAGACGATAGAGGTATACACACCGAACCCAGCTGCTGATTAGATTTCGGGTCATCGGGGATGTTTCCTCCCTTGATGATCTTTCCGTCAGGAAACTCAACAACGGGAGGATCGTAGGGATGGTCAATCAGAACCACAATGTTGCCATAACTAGCCAGCGAACGAGCCATGAGGCTGTAGATCAGCCTGGAGTTTCCCGCACCAGGTGAAAAGACGGCAACAGGGAATGACTTTTTCTCGGTCTCGCATCCTTTCTGCGACATGGGAGTCTTGCAGACCTGGAACTCTAGGGCTGAAAAGGTATCATTCGATAGACCCATCTGTGCTACCTGCTGTCCGTATGCTTTCGCTGTAGCAGGCGGCATGTATGGGACGACCTTGTTTGAGCAAGATGATGAGTCAACGGGCCAGAAGATTGAGGCCAGGACTTGTCTATGACCTTTCTTAGGATCGTAAGGGTCGATGCGGCTTTTGTCGGTCATGCCTTCGATGCGAAGGGCAGTACCGTATGGACCGCTTGGCTTGGGGAG